AAAAAATAGTGCTTTGGATTAATCTATTCAGTACTTATCCTTTGGTTCACTGATTTGATGGGACACCTTCTCAAATGTCCACACCTTAAATCACTTCTCAAATGTCCTCATTTTCATTGAGGGGAGGGAAGAACTTGTCTATGATGAAGTACAAAGCTTCTTAAAATAGTACTGGTATATTTCACTTGATGAATAGGTCCATCGAGAAAAGTTGATGCTTTCTGAAATGCAGTCAGCCCCTTTGAGGCGGGTACAACGTAAAGTGATGAAAAGAAACGAAAAAACGTTCACCCCAAATTCGACACTGGGAGTGCCGCGGGTCTGGCGTCGGGAACTAGTTTGGGGGACACAGATTGCCGCCAAGGGGCCGGGTGCCATGGTCGCCGGCGGAGCGCGAATCCAAGTTGGCCTCGGCGCGGACGCCGGAACTTGGCCCCATCTGGCGGCCGCGCCGGCGCCCCACGCCCCCTTGGCCGCTCGCGGCGCTTTCCCCCAACTTCATGATGTCCTTTTTGAAAGAAAGTTTTTCTTAAGTTATTATTTATATACAGTATAATTCATCAATTTTAAATGTACTGTTTAATGAATTTTGACAATTATATATAATAGTATAGCCACCATCACCATCAAGATGTAGAAAATAATTCTATCTCCTGAAAAGTTTACTTGTGCTCCTTTGTACTCAATCTCCTTCCCCCATCCCTGGTCCCAGATAATCACTGATCTGCTTTCTGTCACTATAGTTTTGGCTGTTTTAGAATTTCATATTGTGGAAGATAGAGTTGGTTTACAGCTGGATCGCAAAAGCTCTGTCTTTATCTCTGAGGATACCTGGATGTCTGGTTTTCACTCTTGGTCAAGATAAGGGCATTGGGATTTATAACTGCTGTTTAAAGTCTGAAGCTCCTCTGGTGACCCCCAGGGTCACTCACTTTACTGAAGATTTGCAACTGGTCTAACTAGTGTCTGGCTTGATTATATAGCCAGAGTAGTGTAGAAACACTGCTGGGAACTTCTGATTTGAGCTCTTCCAAAGCCAGGATTCCTCACACAGATCATGGTGATTCAATCCAAAGGCACCAGGCAGTGCAGTCCACATGTGAATAAGGACGGTGGGGAGCTTGTACTTTATATGTTTTTGAGATTTCTGTTGTTTACCTGCCCAGTCTTTCTCTTGCTGCCCTGTGTCCTTTGCCTTTAAATAAAAATCTTAGATGATTATGCTCTGTGGAGTCTGGTGAATCCTTTCAAATATCTGATCTTGGGAAATTTTGCACATATAAATGGAGTCCTATAGTATACAGTCTTGTGTTTGACTTCTTTCACTTAGTATAATATTTTTGAGATTCATTTTGTTATATTAATGTTTTGTTCCTTTTTATTGCTGAATTATATTCCATGGTAGATATACCATAATTTGTTTATCCACTCGCCAGCTGATGGACATTTAAGTTGCTTCCAGTTTTTGGCTATTATCAGTAATGCTGCTAACAACATTTGTGTACATGATTTTGTATATTCATCTTTTCTTTTGAGTAAATACTTAGGGGTGGTTGCTAGGTCATATGGTAAATGTTGTTTAACTTTATAAGGTACTCCCATATTGTTTTCCAAAGTGGCTTTATCATTTTGCATTCCCATCAGCAATGTATTTGAGACTTCCAGTTGCTTCACATCCTTGCTAACACTTGGTATTGTCAATTTTAAAGTTTATTCTAGCAGCTGTGTCTTAGTATTTCATTGTGGTTTTAATTTGCATTTCTTTGATGACTAGTGATATTACAAAGTCAAATACAACTAAGAATTTAAAAACATTTAGGAAGATGGCGAAGGTTTCAGAGCTTTACGATGTCACTTGGGAAGAAATGCGAGATAAAATGAGAAAATGGAGAGAAAAAACTCAAGAAATAGTGAGCAAATTGTGGAAGTTGGACAAGAAGTAATTAATGAATATGCTTCTAAGCTTGGAGATAATATTTGGATGATATATGAACAGGTGATGATTGCAGCCCTAGACTATGGTCGGGATAACTTGGCATTGTTTTGTCTTTAAGAGTTAAGACAATTCCCTGGCAGTCACAGAGTCAAGCAATTAACGGGCATGAGATTTGAAGCCATGGAAAGATACGATGATGCTATACAGCTATATGATAGAATTTTACAAGAAGCTCCAACTAACACTGCTGCAAGAAAGCGTAAGATTGCCGTTTGAAAAGCCCAGGGGAAAATATAGAGGCCATTTGGGAACCGAATGAGTATCTGGAACAATTTCTTGGAGACCCAGAAGCCTGGCATGAATTTGCAGAACTTTCTACCAATGAACATGACTGCAAAAGCAGCCTTTTGTTTAGAGGAGCTTATGATGATTAATCCACACAACCACTTATCCTATCAACAATATGCTGAAGTTAAATATATCCAAGGTGGACTTGAAAACGTTGAACTTCCAAGTCAGTACTTTGCACAAGCATTGAAACTGAACAACAGTAATATGAGCTTTGTTTGGGCTTTACATGTCGGCAAGTCATGTTGCTTCTAATCCAAAGGAAGTGCAAACACGAAAAAGGACAACATGAAATATGCAGCTAGTGAAATAAACAGAGCTTATCAGTTTGCAGGTCAAAGTAAAAAGGAAACCAAATACTCTCTTAAGGTAGTTGAAGACATGTTGGAAACATTGCAGATCACCTAGTCTTAAGGTTTCAAAAACTCTTTGATGTTAGGTTTCACAACTGCACAATTGAACTTAATGGCCAGTGACTTATTTAATAAATGTCCAGTGCTATTTCTGTACTGCAGTAATTTTATATTAAGAAGACAGTTGTAAAGAATATGTTTATATAAAGCTATGCCTTTTACTGCTAAGCAAAGATAAGGGAAATCCATGGAAGAGAGATTTAAGACTTGTTGATTGTACATCAGTCTCTTCATATCACACATGCATATATATAAAATATAATAACTCTGTAGAAATAACCTTGTTAAATAAACCATGATTTAGGAAACTTGTAAAAAAAACATTTAAAAAGAACATATATGCAGTGAAACTATGTAAAAAGGAAAG